CCGCGTCAGCAGCAGCGTGTCCCCGACGCAGCCAGGCTGGACGCCGGCGAGGGGCAGCACGCACACGGTCACCCCTGCAAGGCACACCCAGACCTTAAGGACAGCCCCAAAGGGCACCCTCCCGGGCGCTGAGCTGCCCGGTCCCTGTGCCCACATCAGCCCGTACCGCTGGGGATCTGCTGCAGCTGCGTCCGGAAGCCGTCCCGCACCTCGGGCCCCAGCCCTGCAGAGCTGAACATGAAGAGTCTCTCGAGCTCGGCGAGGTGCTGGCTGCGCTGGGCGGTGCTCCCCTCCTGCAAGGAGAGCCCACGGAGCTGCTCAGCCACGTCCCCTGCTGACTTCTTCTCTTTGCTGCGGAGGGAGAGGCAGTCAGGGGGCAGAAACCACCCCAAAATCACCTTTGCTGGGGCTCTGGTGGTGTTGGACGAGCCCCTTCTCGGCGATGCTCTGGGGATGAGAGGAGCGGCGACGGAGGGACTCACTGGAGCTTCCTGTGGAGGATGCTGAGCAGCTGATGGCGCGTGGTGATGGAGACCGACTCGGAGAGCAGGTAGGCGGTGGAGAGGGGGTCCTGGCTCCCCGTGGCCAGAGCCAGGAGCTGGCAGAGCTGGCTGTAGAGCGTGCCGGGAGGGCAGTGGCTGATGGAGCTGAAAGCTTCTTTCAGGAACTCGAGGACCGTGTCCAGCGAGGAGACATCTGGAAGGGACAAAGCAGCAAAACCCCAGGGCAGGATCAGCTGCCGAGCCCTCGGGCAACGCTCCGAGCAGCAGCGAGGGGAGGCAGAGCAGGGAGCAGAGGGGACAGACGCTGTGTCCCCAGCACGGCCACCAGCTCCAGTCCAAGACCAACACATGGTCCCCCACACCATCCTGCTCTCTAAATTGGAGAGATATGAAGCGTGGACCCTCGGGGGAGGAAGAATTGGTGGGATGGGCACATCCAGAGAGTAGGGGTCAACAGCTCAGTGTCCAGACGGAGACTGGGGACAAGTGGTGTCCCTCAGGGGTCCATCCTGGGACAAGTGCTGTTTAATATCTTCATCAACGACCTAGACGGGGTGAGCAGTGCCTCCTCCTCCTCAGCTGCTTTGCCCTCTGCCCATACAGCAGTTTTTACCCGTTTTAAATGTTTTTTGCAGAGGTGCCACCAACTTCACCGATGGGCTCAGCTTCAGCTTTCCTCCCCCCACAGCCCCCCAGCCTCCCCACCCACACCATGCTGGGTGCTCCCCGCCAGCCGTGGGCAGGGCGGAGGAGAGGGTA